CATTTGGGAAAACATCACAGAAGCCTCCTCTCCCAAACCATGTTGCGAGCAAGCTGATCATAGTTGTCCAACAGACTACATCCCGCTCTCTCATCCTATCAAATATACGGAATGCACCCATCAAGTCACCACACTGCGCATAAAAATACACTATGGCGCTAGGTATAAACAAATTAATAGTATTATTTTTTATTACACATGCATGAATTTGCTTCCCAAGGTCCAAATCCACTCCCCTACTGCACAAACTCAAAACGCCACACAAAGGTAGAATTTGGCCGAATCCCATTTACAACAAAATCAGAGAACCTCAAAGCTTCATTTTCTAACCCAAAAATCAAATACCCATTAGGCATAGCAGTCCAAGAAACAACATTACTTTTCAACATTTTATCAAACACCTTCCGAGCGTCAACTAACTTACCAAATTTCAAATACCCAGAAATCAAATTATTATAAAGAAATGTGTTCGAGTCTTTCAAACACTTAATAATAACTGCATGTATTCTTCTAACTTGTAATATAGTACAAGAAGACTGGAGCTGAGCAGCAAAATCCTTCGCGTTCACCAGGTGTTCGTTTAATGATACACCCGACGAAGTGGCATTATTGGCATTTGGGTTCTCTCGGGACGTGGAGATATTATGAGAATGGCAGAAGTAATTGAAAATAATGAGTACTTGGAAGAAAAACATGAAAAAGGGAGGGTATGCTTAGATTCATTATTATCTGCTTCTCGAAAGTAATTTTCTTGTTTTGGTGATTGAGTTGGTTGTATATTCATCAGGGAAGAGGGGTGATTGAGTTGGTTTGATAGAAGGGAGTCGAATGAGTGAGATTTGGTGAGAGAAATGTTAGTGAGAGCATTTGCCTTGATTGTTTCGGAGATGGGAGTCCACGAAAATTTTCAGTTTCAGAAGGCTGTTGCTTCTGCCACGCTCAAGTTGAGGTAGCCGTTGGCGAACGCCGATGATCTTTTACTGAGCACGACAGCATTTTGTTTTGTGACTTTTAGTATTTATACCAACCCTCCTGAAAAATACATATATTATTCTTACATCCACAAAAATTATCAGATTTTAATGCATATATTTTTATGTTTTATTCAATTTTCAAACTTTATAAAAAGTACAGTTAACAAATTGAGCTTTGATGTGAGGTGGCACCTTGCTAACAAAAAATACTATAATAATTATTATTATTATTATTTTGGTTAAAAAAGGGGTTAGGGCCAAAACAGAGTGTCATAGACGGCCTCCATATATGGGATCATGAGGTCCCTAACTACTCCAATTATTCTTCTTTGAAACGAATTTAGTTATGACTAGCATAATAATCAACCATTAAGCATCAATATAAACCGTAGGTCTCAAACTTTTAACCTCAAGGTGAAAAAATCAATTGATACCCTACTTAACCATCCCACTCGGTGGTGTAACTAGTGTCACATTATTATTTGATAATTAAGATTGTGCCATATAATTTATTTTTTTTGATCCATTTGTGTCATATAAGTTTTTTTTTTTTTTATCAGAGTCATATAAGTTGAAGTGTATAAATCTTGGGAAATGTACTTTCGTGGAATTAAATTTCGTTAAAGGGAAAAAAAATAGAATAAATTATTTTAGGACGTCCTTCACTTTGTAGCCATTGTCTTCGTTTTCTTTGCTTTTTAGCTTATATTTTTCATCTTTTAAGTTTATATTTCACTTTTATTTGGTCATTCAACTATTAATTAGAAATCAAGTCCAACTTTAAATCTATGTCAATTAAATCCTTGGAGTAGACTAAGGCACATCCACACACTTTTCAGTATGATCATTGACGGCAAAAATTAGAAAAAATACTACAGAGAGATGCAAAGATAAACACGTGTAAAACATACTCTTTGAAAAAAAAATTGAAAGGTTACATTGATCAACGACTTAATTTTGTTGGTAGATGAATCTATGATTGATATTAATTTTTCAGTACCGTACCAAAAAATCAAAAAATTGTACCATAGTCAAGTCCCAAAACTTTTTAGTTAGTCAATAATTCAAAAAGAAAAATGTCAAGGTATCACGTGCCCCAATTAGGAGCTAACTCATTTTTGCATATTTAAGTCCTTCTTCAATTGTATCTGTTGATTCATTTTTTTTCCGTTAAAATTGTTAATCAATTTAGACTGAAAACTTAATTGAAAATGTACTTTAAAGTTCAAGGACTTGATTAATTCAATTAATAGTTCAGGGACCAAATGAAAATCAGGTACAAACTTTAGGCGTACAAAGTATAATTTACCTCGTTTGTCTTTTGGCCTTCGTCCGTCCAATTCACATGTTCCAGAAAAATAGTATTGGCGGTCTCCTGTTTTTGACCTTTGTTGCTATCGTTCCAGAAAAACCCCAACTGATCTTCCGCTCAAAACCCTAATTGTATCAATCCAGAAAAATCCCAATAAACTTCAACAGCTGAGTCGAACACCAAGTCGTTTCTTCAGAAACCATCAATCGTATCATATTCAATGGAGCTGGCCTCTGCCTCATTCAATGCATACTGTACAGTTTCATTCAGACCATCGCCCACAACTACTACTAGAGACCACTCCCCGTCCTTCTCTCTTACCAGGAACTCAGTTCCAGGTCCATTACATTTTCCTTCCAAATTTAAAGGTAAGTCTCGCTTTGTTTTAACTGGTACTACCCGAGTTTCATTCAATCAATTCAAAGTCCATTGGATTTAGTTTCTTTTTCTCTCGTTTCCTTTTTTTTTAACTTTGTATTTTGGTTATGATTAGTATATTTATGTGTGTGTATATAAGAAACTTTTGTTTAATTATTACGTTGAGGTTTTTATTCTAACGAGCTTTGCTGGTTTCTGCTATAGTAGTCTTTGAAGCTGAAAATTGGATGTAATTCTCTTAGTTGACTTTTGGGGATTGCTACATATTAGATATTGGAGTGTTTTAAATTGGGTATTGTGAATGGGTTTGGGTTGATGAAGTATAGGGCACTGTTGAATTGGAGGAAAGAAAGATATGGAGAGGTATTAAAATTCTGGTAGTGGAGATAATATATAAGAAGGCATAGTTAAATGACAGGTGAAGCTAATGGTATTTGGATTCTTACAAGATAAAAATGGGCTGTAGTTATTATTTGCAAAGATTCCATAATACTTCTCTGATTTCTCAAAATCTAAATGGAGTATGAAAAGCCTGGAAGTTGAAATGATTCTCGTCCGGGGTGTCAATGCTTTGCTTCTAAACAAGCACCGGTTCTATACCATTTTGTTGATTACTTGGTCATGCTCATGAAAATTCTATTGGATGGTCGTCCTCTTTTACCTAAATATATTTCTTAATTTTTCTCAATGATGGAAAGAAGAAATTGGTGGCCAGATTGCTTAAATGGAATATGTTCGCTTTGAAATGTCAGGTTCTTATTTGCAACTTCATACATTGAGGCTGCAACGTTCCTCTCTTGTGGCTGTTGTTGGTGATACAATGGCAGTACCAAATGATTCAACTAAAGAACATATGTTGTTTACCGAACAATCTGATCCCACGTCTAATCTGGATCCTTCTCCAAAAGAAGGGGAACACAACGAAGCAATTGAAACCTTGGATGACAATAAAATGGTTCGTGTTTGTGACAAGCTAATTGAGGTTTTCATGGTTGACAAGCCAACTCCAAGTGACTGGCGAAGATTAATTGCTTTCAGCAAGGAATGGGACAACATCCGGCCTCACTTCTATAAGCGATGTCAGGACCGAGCAGATATTGAGAATGATCCTGGGATGAAGCACAAGCTGCTTCGGCTTGGAAGAAAGCTGACAGAGGTACCTTTTTTTCTTGTTAACTTAAAGTTAGTTGAATGTGGATGGCCAGAGCGTTGAAAGAGTTCCATTGTGGGATCCGACAGGGAGTTTGATGTTGTATTTTGACCAATTCCAGAATATTATTGTGTGTTATGAAGGAATGGAAAAATATGCTCCTCTTTGACCTTTTTCTATTGCTGACAGCCTCTGGGTATAAATAGTTAGATTTCTTGTGATGATGTATGTTGGGTCACCTCAGTCTTTAGATTGATTTGCCTGTATCCAAAGATGTTTCTCTTGTATCTTTTATTTCTTGGCTGATTCTTAGATTTGATTTGAGCTTATTTGGTAATTCACTAAGAAATGTTCTTGTCCAGGTTGATGAAGATGTTCAAAGACATAATGAACTTCTTAAAGTTATCAGAAAAGCACCATCTGAGATCAGTGAAGTTGTTTCTAGGCGTCGTAAAGATTTCACAAAAGAATTTTTTGCACATCTTCACACGGTAGCAGAATCTTATTATGACAATCCACAAGAACAAAATGGTGAGACTATATGTTCTCCATTTTCTGTTGCCTTCGTTTGTTCATACTGTTTCCTCGTTAGTCTTTCCTGGCCACTACTAAGTGTTGTCACTACTTATAGGAATTATTTCAGATTAATGTCATATTAACCAAATTCATTTTGTGCTACAGACTATTGACATTTGTTGTATACCAAAAAGTATATGCAATGTATGATTATCAAGTCAAGAAATCATGAAGAAAACAGGTCTTTAGTTTCTATGATGCTGCTCCTTTACACTTGTATGCTATTTTTAAAGACTAGGAGATGTGTCTGGATCACAGAGAATTTGATCTGAACTTGCACAATTCCACTCTGTTTAGATACCATTAAGGTTCTTTTTCTTTGAAGAAGGCAGATCGAGGATTTGCTGTTTATGTTGTGACTCGTTTAATGCCCCATAATTATTCGGTATCTGGGTGATATACATTCGTGCTAGCAATTTTCTATAGCTTAAGAAAATTCCATTCCTACAGTTGGATTACCGACTGGCTGAATCTTAATAGAAGCAATTACTTGAATTATTAGATGTGTATTTAACATAGTTCAGTGAAATTTTTTTGATTGCAAAATGACTAGTAAAATAAAAAAGGTTAAGAGAATGAGATCATGCTCATTTAAAATTATGTCCTTGTATCACTAATCCTCAATCCCAAAACCTACCTTATTTCTTAATTGATAAATTGTAATTATTTTTGTTGAAAGAACTGAACTTTGAAATCTTGTTGCTTTGTTGACCACAACTGTTGAAACATCAGTCGGGCTAATAGGTTTTGGCTCTGATGCTTTGTCTAGGCAGTTACCCAACTAACATATTGTGGACATCAAGTCATATGTATTATTAGGATTTCCATCATCAGTAACACTTTCTGAATTTGCCATGTGCTTTTGTGTATGAGAAAACAGGAGAAAATGCTGCAAAAAAATCTAGTATGAAGGAACCCTGAAATAAATTGTCGGTCTGAGATCATGTTATTGTTTCTAGTGCATACATCTCAGTTAGCGGCAACATTGCTGCAGGAGATGCTTGGCTAATAGTGGGCCTAGATATTGCACAGCCTACATTTGACAGCCAGGGCCCAGTGCCACTCTGATTGTGAAATATGAAATGGATATTGAGTCTGGTTGATATTGAGTCGGTTTATTATTATTTTTTAGTTTTTCTCTATTAAGTACACAGGACCGGCCCACTGAAGCTGTTCCATGGAAAGCTCCCTTTACTTACTCTTCTGGAACTATGGTAAATGCATATAACCTTATTAGAATTTAATAGTTAGGTGAGCCGACGGTTACAGTTCTCTGTTAATGCTAAGAAATAGAAATACTAGAATTGTACTAGTGATAGAATTGTTTAGGGTTCAGTTAGATTGGCATTAATAGCCTTATTCTTATGCCTAAACAATGGACAGCATATAATTTAGTCCATTTTGTACATGCTCAGCATTGTTGTGAAAGATATTGATACCAGATCTCTTTCTGTATGAGATGATTAGATGTGGCAAAGCTTGGGAATAGGTGCTTGGCTTCTGTACAAGCTTATGATACTGCAACTGAAAGTATTGAAGCACTGAATGCTGCAGAGTTGAAATTTCAAGATATAGTCAATTCTCCTTCTTTAGATGCAGCTTGTCGGAAGATAGACAGTTTGGCTGAGAAAAATCAACTTGATTCGGCACTGGTACTCATGATAACAAAAGCTTGGTCAGCTGCCAAGGAGTCAAACATGGCCAAAGACGAGGTAAGGTGACTCCTGGCCTTTTAAATGCTCATCTTTATGCATTTTTTAATACATCTGGTGTATGTATTTCTCTGGTTTGGCCTCAGGTTAGTTCTGGAAAAAATAGAAGATTGCATGTCTGTGTGGTGCGGATTAATGATTTTTAAAACTAATATTTTATCTTGGGATGAAGTCAGTAAACATTTATCTATTTCTTCACTTTTTTGTTGTGTGATAAGAGTTGCTCTAAGAACTTTTGCCAATGTTTTTAAAAGATGGAAAAAGTGAGACAGCGGCCATGACTGTGAATCCTACAGTTTTTATACATATGACAAAACCTATTTCTACTGATATCTTTGGTTTGTTTTCTCCTTTTTTATGTTTTTTGTTTTGGGTTTGGGTGGGGAGGAAGGACTTATTTCTATTGCCTTCTAAAAGTAATGATTCATTTGTATAATGCATAAATGCTGCTTTGGTATAAGATCATTTATGATTTGGTTTGGCAGGTAAAAGACATATTGTATCATTTGTACATGACAGCAAGGGGTAATCTTCAGAGAAATATGCCTAAAGAGGTTAGGATACTCAAGTATCTTCTTACAATTGAAGATCCTGAAGAGAGAATGTGTGCCCTAAAAGATGCTTTCACCCCTGGAGAAGAACTTGAAGGGAAGGATGTAGACTGCCTATACACGTATGTATATGAAACTTGATTCATCTAATCATTTATTTTGTGAGACTTGGTATAAATGCAAAAATGTTTAGAACGGAGACCAATTTCCCAAAGTGTGCGATGGTGAAATTATTTAGTGGGTACCTTTATAAGAAAAATGAATTCTATACCCCTTGAATCCTTTGAAATGGTTTACTTTCTCAGTGATTCATATTGCAGGATATGATCCATTCATGGATTGGCTAGGAATTCCCCTAGGATATCACTTCCAGCTTCTGGGATTGTATCATTTGATTGTTTCTCTCTTTTCCTTTTTGACTGTTTTAATCTGACAAGAGTTTGTTCATACTGACAGCACACCAGAACATCTGCACACCTGGATTAAAACGGTGCTGGATGCTTACCATTTCAGCAGAGAAGGCACTCTTATTAAGGAAGCTAGGGATTTGATGAACCCAAAAATCATTCAAAAATTGGAAGAGTTGAAGAAATTAGTCCAAGATAACTTCATGTAAGCACCAGTTACACTTCTCAGAAGCTTTCTATGAGTAGTCTTGGTGCGAAAGTCTCAACTTCTTCCCATCGGGTTCTTAAGTCCATGAAGTAGACTGTAGAGCTGTGATTTGGTTACACCCATCACCCCTTGTGAGATATTGCTCAACAACTTCATAACTTTGTCCTGAAAGTTCAGCAGCGACGATGACCTTAGAAATGTTCACGGTGTATTTTGGTGGAAATCATGGAAACTGGAGTATAGTAGGAAAGGTCGTAATGATTTGGACTAGCCTCATTGGACAGAGAAGCATGATTATCTAAGTCGATGATACTTTAGTTATGTTGGAATTATGTATCAATTTTGCTATATAATATGCCTTCCTTTTTGCCCCAGACCACATATAGATATGAATTGTTTAGTTAGAGAAATTTAACGTATTTGGCAATGAACAACTCAGAAAGAACTCATTCTGTCTCTGTATATTGCTCACTCCTGTGGTATTTTTGTTTCCTTTATATTTCACTGTGTGAGGGCGGACCTTGATACAACGGTAAGATTGATAAGGTTACGTATATTTAATTCTCTTCAGACCCACAATGGTGGAAGTCTTATGTACTAAGTACACTTTTTTTTATATTCCAATGTGCTCTATTTTTTCCTCTTGCCAATCAAGAAAGTGGAAGACATGCACTCTCTAGTAGGAACCTTCTTAAATGCTCTTGCAGTACATAAACAACTGAGAGTAGGAAACTTCTTAGTAGATGCATATGTTGCTAGTACTTACCGAAGAAAGATATGTTGCTAGTGAGTAGGATAACGTCAACGTGGCTTTAAAATACTTTGTTTAAAATGTCACTAGCAAATACCACGTCGGATATCTTTTAATATATTTTTGATTTTTATTTATTTTGAAATGTGAATTCAAATGAAACGTGTTGTAATTAGTGTGTTTTTCACTAATACATAATAGATGATTGATCATCGAGAAAAAAAGTAATAGTAGGAATTTGAATCCAGCAAGCACATTTTGCTGTTGCATTGGCAATGTGCAGCTCTTATAATTTATTGAATTTTTAACACTAGCCAAAGTTTTGTGGAGAAAGAGCAACAATGTTACGAAGATCTAATTTGAAAACTTAATCAAGGATCTAATTACATTGAATTAGTTGTAAATTTTAGTGTTTGGCGGAAGTCATTTTCAATCTAATTGTTGTATTCAATTAGGTCCTTTGGGTTCCTGAAATTGCGGCAATTTCAAAGAAAAAAAATTGTGAAAATTTGAATAATGTCAGTAAAGAATAATATTAAATCAACAATATATGCACACCATCTTGATGTACTATCTCACGTGCACCATTTAATGTGACATAATTCTAATTATTAAATATTTAATAAAATTAATGGAATTTACTGATTTAATAATCTATATTGTGACATCTAGAAAGGTGACAAATATTGCATGGTTAAAATTAAAACCGGTGGTATTAATGCATAAAAAAAACCCTTATTCTTTTGATTCTTCTCTTTCTTTTTTTTTCCAAAATAAAGAACCTGTTTGTCAGAAAATTAATATCTTTTTTTTTTCAGTTTTTAATATACGGAAATTAAAAACAAAAGGGTAAATCACAAAAATGGTCCCTAAACTTTTCTCCTTATTGTAAATTGCACCCTACACTTTAAATTTTTTTAATTTATTCCCTAAACTATCTAAATTATTTTAATTAGCACTTTCTGTTAAATGGGGATGAAACCCTAACGTGAACTAAAGGATGTCATTGAGTGAATGGCACTTTCGGCATTTCACCTATTATCTAATAGTTAGGCGCCAAAAACTCCCTCTCATTCTTATTTTGATGTGTTTATTAGACTCGTTCTTTTCCCATGCTCTCTGCTCAGTCTAGTTGAGAGAGAGAGTCAACACAATGAGAGATGAAGGAAACCAAGTCATGAATGTTTATTGCCATGGTAGGAGAAGAACAATAATGAAGACGTCCTACACCGATAATAATCTAGGCAGAAGGTTCTTATGTTGCAGTGTGCATGGTAAGTTTCAACATCATCTCAAGAAATTGAAGTAGGTAAGTTACAAATTCTAACATCTCTAAAATGCTTGTGTACTTGTAGAATGGGGTCTATGGGTTCTTTGACTAGTATGACCATCTTATATGTCCTCGTGCAGATAATCCTAGGACTTATAAAACGAGTGGAAGAAAAAACAAGCTAACAAATATAATAGAAGAAACTATTTCCTGTGGATTACATTGCTAATTTCATGGTTGGTAATGTGGACATTATCGAGTAACGGATTTGGTGGAGAAGCATCAACAAACTTAGATGGTCAAGGTGAACCAAGTGTCAAATTTGATTTGTAAAATGGGAATGGTAATGGGAATGAGATTGAGAATGTCTTGTATAGTGATAATGGTTTGTTAAGTTATTAATAATGTATTGTTAATTAGTAATGGAAAGATGTTGGTATATTTGTTTGAGTTTGTTATTAGTGAGCGTCTATCATATATTTATTATTAGTAATGGATAAATGTTATCTGTTTTGCTTTAGATGAATTAGTGCCTTGAAACAGAAAGACAAAAATGATGTTGCAGACAAAAAATATGATGTTCGAGATAAAAAAACTTTGCTTCATAATAAATGGTTCATCTATATAAAATAGTAACATCCGACCAGTCATCAGGAGGGAGTTTTTGGAGCCCAATTGTATATAATAGGTGAAATGCCAAAAGTGCCCTCCACCAAATGCCATACACAGTCATGTTAGGGTTTTATCCCCATTTAACGGTTGAATCTAGCAAAATGCGTTGATTAAAATGATTTAAATAGTTCAGGGCTAAATTAAAAAAATTAAAAGTTTAAGATCTAATTTAAAACAAAGAGGAAAGTCCAGAGGCCATATTTGTGGTTTACCCAAGACGAAAGAAAGGGAAATGAGTGTTGAGCTTTTGGACAGAGAGAGAGAGAGAGAACAACTCGGGCTGTACCTCCACACTACTCATCGGTAACCTTTTCCTTGAGGGACTTACTCAGCTTCTCCGACACTCCAATTCGTCAATAATATTCCATTCGACTGCGATTGAAAATTCTAGGGTTTATACAATCACGAAGCTCTGCATCTACAAAATATCTATTCACATGAGAATACTAAATCAGGCTTTCTGAAGAATTGGATTCTAATAGTTCTCCGCCACTCTCGGAGAATCCGGTAATTTTCTGGTCATTCAACAATCTGAGATCAACGATTTCGACTATAATTTTCGAGTCTTGTGCATTTATATTAGAATCTCGAAATTCGGATGGTATTGTAGCTAGAGCGCTGTGGTGTGATTTTGATACTGATTTTAGGAGCGTTGTACGTTGGGTGGTGGATTGAATCCCCGGACGATGACCAGAAAAACTAATAGCTGTGCTATTTGCGAGAACTCGAATCTTGCATCTATATGCCCCATTTGTGTCAATTACAGGTAAAAAATTTAATTTCTTCAAATTTAGCATCCATTTATGTTTAGTTTTTATGATGCAATATCATTTTGTAGATGCATCAATTGTATATTGGCATTCCCGTTACTCCCCAGGAAAAAAAGACATGTTCTTGTACAATGCTCTTAATTTTGTGCTGTTTGGATGAATCAGCATGAAGGAGTTGTGTTTTGTTATGATATGTGCAGATTAAATGATTACAACACTAACTTGAAGTCGCTGAAGAGCCGGCGGGATGCTTTGTATACCAGATTGAGTGAAGTGCTTGTGGTAAAGGTTTGACTAATTCATTTCGAGCTCATCGGTCTATTCTTTTCATTGTTTTGACTGTATGTCTGTGGGTTATCTGGATGGTCCTGTGTAGAAAAGCTTGTTCGGATGCACTGGGTCAATTTGTAATTCAAGTTCCTGAATAGGATTGGAGTTTTGGATTTTGGAGTCATGATGGGTCATTCAAACTCTTGGCCTAGTTAAAACCGCTTCTTCAATTTTATGTGTCCACCTTTTTGAACTCAGCAAAATACAAAGTGTATAATTGGATAAAATGTAAAAATGCTATTTATAGTTATGATAGCTTGTTCGGGAAAAGGGGACTGATAGGAGTGACAAACCTTGGGGTTTGGTATATAATTAAGCTTAGAAACGATATGAAATCTTTTTTGGTGCAGTTCATCAATCCTTTATGCCTGGCGAGGACTTGTAATTGGCATGATTAGTAGGCTTTTGGTACATGGAAGACTTGCAGGAGCTAAAATCAAATTTTACAGTAGCCAACTTACTAATTAAGGGGTATTGTTAGGGCATGTGATGTGACTGTTTCCACAAGCATAGTTATCTTTATGGTTATTTTATATTCTTGTTGGGGGCATCTCACGACACATTTTGAGTTCTTAATTTTTTATTTTTTATTTTTGAAAATTGTCAGGGTAAGGCAGATGATCAATTAAGTTTTAGAGTGCTTCAAAGTGAGAAGCTTGCAAGATTGAGGGAGAAACTCCGTGTTCGTAAAGAACAACTTTCACAAGGTTGGCTGCCCTCATTAACTGTAGCTGCGATTTTAGGTTGAGTAGTCTCCGTATTGTCACTCCATGAGCTTCTTAGGCTAATTTATGCTTTTATAGGAAATGCTAAGATTGAGAAGCTGTCCCATGATTTAAAAGTCAAATATGAGTCGCTGGAATCAGCCAAGAGTATGGTATTGCCTTCTTTTCTTTTTTATTTCTTTTGTTTTTTATGTGTTATCAATTAGACATAAACTTCTTTTCCTATTCATTTTTAGGAGTTTGTAGTTGAATAGATGATGATACTTCTGTTGGAAATTTTATTGCAGCTGGAAAGAAATCGTGTAGAACAACTGGAAAAGTTCTATCCTAATCTTATCTGCACTCATCGCTTGGGGCTTGTGAGAATTCATCTTCACAATAGATTTTTTTGTTTAGCAATTTTTCTTTTCTTTTGTTTTTGCTGTCTGAACTTTGTAGGTAATTTTGCGTACTACTATTATTTTCAAAGCAGACTAATATGGACAGAATACCATGTATAAACTGTATTCGGTGCTAAAGATATTTTTAACTGCAGATGGCAATTACCTCTGATCGTCTTTATAAGCAGTCAGTGGTTATAAAACAGATTTGCAAGTTGTTCCCACAACGTCGGGTAAGAATTAGAGTTTGACTACTGTTAGCTTTATAAAATTTCATGAACATTAACTTTCAACAACATCAGTGATCGTCCCAAGTACAAAGTCTCAGTAACTTTTAAAAGCTATGTTCGTATACCTTATCATGGGATTTAATAGTCAGTGTGTATTCTAATTATCTGGGGACCACAACTCTAAACATGCAGCATTAGTAATGTGGTGCCTTTTTTATTTCCATAATACAATTTTATTGATGTCTTCTAAGTTGAGTTTGTACAGAACTATGCTTATTTATTTAGTATGGGCAAGTAACTTTACGGGGGGATTACTAGTGGTTTCTGATAAGCTAAATCAGTTTCATGTTGCAGGTGGATATAGAGGGAGATAAAAAAGATGGGTCTAATGGCCGATTTGATATGATTTGCAATGCACGTCTACCAAGAGGACTTGATCCCCATTCAGTTCCATCTGTCGAGCTTGCTGCTTCTTTGGGGTACTCTTTTTTCACTTCAGATACATATCCACACATTTTTTTACGGTGTCATTACAGTTATGATCTCCAAGTTTACACCTGAGATTCAAATCCAGCATCCAGTTGTTCTTATATCACAATCTCGTCATACTCAGCCTTCTATTGGCCCTACCCTCAAGATTCTGGAAAAAACTGAAGTTAGCTAATCATCATTGTTTTGATTTCCCCACCTTCCTCCTATCGGAGATTCCATTTTTTGGTTAATGTTTTTAGTTCAGTTAAAGTCACTCTTGAGGAAAATTTTAAGTGATTGGCCTATTATACACAGACCAATCTTTCACTATATTATTCTATCACTGAAATCATGGACGTGTAGCCTTATCTCTGTTTGGAGCTGTAATTATTGCTATTTTCATTAAAATGGTTATATAACTTCTATTTATCAAACCAAAGTTTAAATTTTAGGATCAACAAGGGGTAGTACAAGAATATTCACCAATTGTCCATTGACTACGCCTTTCGGTCTGATCTTACCCTTAGGTTTTCAGGGCATTGGATTCTCACCAATGTTTGCATTACTCAAGCCGACATTCTCGCTTACGCTTCGTCCACTACCACTTGCGTGGGTACTTCTCTCTGAGGCAGAACTCTCCCATACCTATGTATTCTTACATCCCATACATATTTTTGCGGAGACGTGTGTTTTTTGGTAGACAGTTGCCCGTGCCTGGTCATTGCGACCCCCTTTGTGAGGAGGCACCTATTCTTCCGAAGTTTTGGAACTATTTTGTCGAGTTCCTTAGAGAGAGTTGTCTCGCACCCTTATGTGTTCTCTACCTACCAACCTGTGTCAGTTTGATACAAATGTCAATGTCTTGTACCTTAGCTAATGGCTAAACTTTGACAAAGTGGAACCATTTTTCCAGTCTAAATGATTTCCTATGCCATGGATCAAATGAGTAGGAAGAGCAAAAAATAGTTTTAGATCAAGGAAAGATGAAATAAAATATCAGAGTAATTGGTTTCACTTACAGATTTGTTACCTTCTATTCTTATAGGTTATTATTTGGTTATCTTTCATCTAATTAAATCTTGTAATCTCATGTACAATTATCTTTTCTAACTTCTGAGCTAAAACTTATATTGCCTTGTCTCATGGCCATCTTATTGTTCATCCAGTGCTTTGTCGTTTTCTATATTTCCATTGCAATAACTGCACAATACAAACGACATGAGAATAAATAATGTGTTTCTGATAAACAACTTATGAAGTCACCAGATGTTTTGTAATTATGGAAAGTAAATGCTAAATATGAATGTAAGTGTTATGATGATAAAGGTTTCATACGATTTTTCAACCAGGATGTTTTACATTGCTCGATATAGGCTGAAAAGTTGTCTAGACCTCTGAATTTAAGGTAGAGATGTATTTAGCTGGAGATGCTCTTGTCAAGATTATTTTGAAACATTAGCCTTACAAAGGAACTCAACTATAGATACTTGATGATTATCATATGTCATATGTAAAAAGTTGCTATAATGGATTTTATAGTTGTGTGGCCTGTTATTTCATTATCTGCGTATCCTTTTTTTTCAAATAACAAAATTGGGGTGATCCCAAGTACACTGTTTATATGTGTTTGTCATATTCTATGCAGTTAGTCCATATTTGCTTTATTTAGCCTGTGATCTTAATTGACAATATGAAGTGATCCCAAGTTGTCTTTGTCTGTGCTTTTCTTTTTCTATGTAGATAGTCCATATTTTCTTTAGTTACCTTGTGTCCTTCACCAACTGTTGACCTTAACGATTGGAAAACAGGTATATGGTGCAGCTTCTGAATCTTGTTGTTCACAATGTCGGCGCTCCTGCACTCCATAACTCTGGTTTTGCGGTAACTTCTGTTTCATGTTGCATATTGTTCACATGCATTATGACTCGAGTTTTTTTTTGAGTTCTTTACATACTATTATTGTTTTTATTTTTTTTTTGGATTTTGTGAAAAAAATTCCTTCAATTGTTTCACAATTTTCTCGTGCTCTATGTAGTGAATGTGGCATTTAAAACCTTAAGGAAACTAGAACCAGCGCTTTCATGTTGTATTTGAGAGATTTTTTTATAGGTCCTCATATTAATATTTCAATGATTACATTTATTATGTTAGTATTGTGGATATTTTTAGAGTATCCAACTCAAAATCAATTGGTAATGTCTGAAGAAGCCCTCAAAGAATATAAACCAACCTTGGTAGTCCTAATTATTTGATGTGGGATACAAGCTCTCTTTACACCCTCCCAAATGCAAACCCCGGCTTGCACATTGGATTAACAAATAAACAAACAACCATGCATATTAGAAATTCAAATGGGTAAGAGACTTAGCCCACTGACCTTCCAAGGCCTAGCTCTAATACTATGTTAGAGTATTCAACCTAAAACCAATTGGTCATATGTGGAGTGACCCCTCAAATATATTAACCAATGGTCCTAATTATTCAATGTGGGTACATGTTCTCTTTATAGATATGACCATGTGAAGTTCTTTTTTTTGCATGTTTTGGTGCATCAGTGAGACTTTCCTTATGTGTCTTCTTACTGTTGTTTCAGGGTTCATGCTCGCGAATATGGCAACGAGATTCTTATTGGGATGCCCGCCCCTCTTCCAGAAGGTATTTTTGGGTTTTGACAGGACATATGATGACATGCATGTATCAACTGCATCATATTGAAGTTAGTTTATTCCATGCAGCAATGAATATCCACTTTTCATACCACGGCAGAATTATTGCTCTACCAGCACGGAAACTTCATGGTCTGAAAGAAGCTCAAGTAATTTTGGTGTAGCTTCAATGGAATCAGAAAGGAAGCCCCGTTTGGATTCTTCTCGTAGTAGTAGCTTCAGTTTTTCTTCTGCTTCACCTCATTCTGTTGAAACGCACATGGACCTGCAGAAAGGGATTTCACTTCTCAAGAAAAGTGTGGCATGCATAACATCATTCTGTTACAACTCCTTATATCTAGATGTTCCCCCCGAGGCGTCTACCTTTGAAGCCTTTGCAAAGTTGTTAGCAACTCTATCGTCTTCCAGGGAGGTTCGATCGATTTTTTCCTTGAAGATGGCTTCTTCAAGGTATTGACTTTTTTTAGCTCTTGGATAGTTGTTCTCTGCATTGTTATCTTAGCTGGACTATGCACACTTTGTGTAGGAATAGCAAGTCCTACTAACCTTGGGCAATATTTCAAGTTCTGAGTGGTATTACCTTCGGAACTAAATCTAAGAAAAATCTAATTTAATACTTGCCAATTGTTGAGTTTGAGTTGGCCTGTAATTTCTCTATCGTGTGGCTCATTTTTAAGCCATGTCTTGCTGCCAGCAGATGAGGAATACACAGGTGTTTTAAAGGTAGAAACAAAGTGGCTTGGACAAATCTTTTTTATCGATAACCTCAGACCAGTCAATCGAATATGGATTGATACGTAATCAATCGCCCACTACTTGAAAACGGCTCTTCTGCCCAGAAACGAAATGTTCCTGTAAATTCTTGCTCCCATTGGACCATTTGTATCTATATGCATTAGGTCCTGATTCTAATTTAGTTATTATCCTCTGAGAACATTTACTGTAGTTCCTGAATAGTTGCTAGATGTGCAACCTATAGTTGGCATGTTTCTGTCATCTATTCCAAGTCATAGTTTGGTATGGGAAATCTTAGATCTATTGGCATTTGGCCAGCCAAGGGATCGTCAAATAGGTAATGAAAGTGAGGCCTACCAAGAGACATAAAGAAATAAGTTAAGGAGTATAACATGTTAGCTACTTTTTGTCTATTATTTGAATACTCAAAAGTCACTGAAAATAATTTGGTGGTAATAACTATTCAAAGTTATTTTCGAGTTAGATAGATTTTCTGAAGTTATTTAATTTTTTTCTGTTCTTTGAAGCCTTTTGGTTGCTTGTTGGTTTTTGACCTTGAAACCTTTTTTGCATCTGTCACTTCAAGGATTCTGAAATATATATATTTAACATAAATATCTTCTTTTCTTTCAAGAGTCGGCCTATTAGCGTGTTTCTTTTTTCCTTCTGATTTGCAGTTTAAGTAGTAAAGAACCGTATTTTTTACAAATACTCAGCTGTATCTTTTTTTTTTTGACACCGACTTTCCTTGACGTTTGATTGCACAAATCTCCCTTCTTGTTTCAATCCTTACACTGACATCCACACATCAACAACAACATAACATATCCTGAAGAGACTACTATAGAAGATATTCACAGCAATGAAGAAGACTGAATGAAAGCCACAGAAACAACAGATTGAAATCAAAGTTTAGAGTACATCAGTTCCCACTACCTTAAATAACATCTTAAGCATAAATAACATGAAGTCTCTAGACAGTACTCCACACAACCACATAGCTAGCTAGCTAAGTCTTTTTTTTGTTACTTGCCTCATCAGGACAATATATGGGAATCACTTTTGCTCCCTCATTCGGACATAACAGGCTCAACCTCTCGCGGTAGTGCGCACACAACGTATCACACATAATATTAGATCCCTTGGAATTCTTTGCGCATTCTTCAAATAAATCGACAAGAACTCTACAATATTTTTCATCACCCTTCCACAGAGTGGAATTTGGATCTAGCATATGAGCTAATGAGCCAATTCCATGTGCAGTAGCAGTATTCCGAATTAAGTTGTTAGACCGACTACCATTGCCGCCGTGACGACCCATAGTAGAAATAGGCTTGTTGCTGTGACTTGTGAAAATTATTTTATCAAAGAACTAGCATATTCTTTATGTTTTGAATGTCATGTCTTGTAAATCGTTGATAATAATAACCACGCATTATCCATAAAATGCTGTATCCTAGCTATGTGTGATTTTTGTTCACTTCATCTTTCAGGTCATCTAAGCAAGTTCAACAACTGAACAAATCTGTTTGCAATGTCGATTCAGGCATTTCATCAAGTGCATTATTTGAGAGTGCACATACATTGCCCATAATGGTATAAGTTTTATAGCCCTGCCTTTTGTTTCTGCAAAATCATTGAATTTTGGTGTTGATTGTGCTCTTATTGTTGAGCAGTCTAATTGGACTTTTGTTTTTGTGTGATAAAAAGAATTTTCTTGGTGGATGCGTATTCATGCATTAAAGTAATAAAATTTGCCCCCACCCACACCAAAAACAATAAAATAAAGAATTTTACCACCCAAATACACCAAGAAAATAACGATGTACTTCTCTTATTTCATAGATAAGAAGTGGCATTCTTTGGTATTACTAACTGCTTGCGTACATCAATACTTTGCATAGTCTGTTTTAGAGTTGGTGCTAGGTTATGCCCAGAGCTCTTGGATTGTTTGTGATTCTGCCAATTGAATTTATGGACTAACTTCCCCTTCCCCATCATACCAGATAGCAACAAAACAACAAATAACTAGTTTGCACTTGATGTGATTTTCCTTTTCAGCATCCTGTTAAAAATTGTTACAAGTTTGCTTTTGCTTCTCTTATTGTTTATTTATTCATTAAGAAGCAAGGGACTGGTTTGATTCAGTCTGAATTGTGGCCTTGAGACGGCAGGAATTACAATATATTCATTGGTCTTACAAGTGCTGTAAACATTTACCATGCCCATACTACATAATTTTTTACATAGGGATGGGGTTATTACATAAAAATCTATTGTATGTGCATTTATATGCTTGTTTATGTCAAGGAAGGGTTATCAGGAGAATGTAAGATGTATTGTATCATATAAATTGAATGGAGTGTGTACTGATAAAAAATTGAGCGGCATGGTTTGGTCACTTGGTATTGCATTCACATGTTGTCATTGGGCTTAATTTCAATCAGGAAGTATTCAAAGTTCTAGCGTGATTTCATTTTGTAATTGATTCTTGTATTTTTGCTTCATCTTGCAGAGAAATTTGAATGACACCAATTTCCCAAGTTCTGCTGCCAGTTATCTTTATGCCACTGAATTATCTGATATGGGAAAGAATGAAAATCTTATTGACGGGTGGGATATTGTGGAGCATCCCACTTTTCCTCCCCCTCCATCACAGGTTGAGGATGTGGAGCATTGGACTCGAGCAATGTTTATTGATGCAACAAAGAAATGATCTGGTGCTTTAATGGCCTACCACTTACTGTAAGTACTTTCATCCAGTCGGGACTAGTTTTCTGGAGTTGTCAGCAGATTTAACCAATTACTTTCTGAGATGACCGACTTGCAGAACTTGTAAATAGATACAAGTTTTTGTGCATATTCCAGTATAGGTAGATCATATTTCAGAAGAAATGGTAGATTGTAGTTTCCTGTTCCTATTATGTTTCTACGAAGTCATAGTAATTGATTATTTACTTGGACAAAGTGCACAAGGTAGATACCTGTTCTAGGAGCTTTACTGAGCATTGAATTTACCTACCTGATAAATGAATGTGTATATACGCCTGCATTTTAGACCAAAGAGATGCAAGATTAGAGTTACAAGGGTATTTGGGTATCTGATTACAGCATTTCACTTTCCCAAGGCACTGATGTTGCTTCTCTTCTTTAACCGATGGCTTGCTTGTATCACCTGCCACCCCGTATGGGGCTCCTGAGGATCGAACCTTAGGGGGGCAGTTGGGGGTGGGTCGAAGATTGACAATTCTAGATCGGATCATTAATCCGCCTGGACATCAATCCGGTAAAAAGACTTGGTCAATGAGTTATTAGTTCAATCATCGAGTCACTGGTCGGACCGGTTATATAATAAAAAAATAAAAAATATTTATTAATAGTAGAAAACATTCTCAATTAACTTTTTTTTTGGGTTAATTGTAAATTGCACTTTGAAAGATCGTTCAAATTTCATTTTTCACTCTCAAAGATCAAAAATTTTAATTTGTACCTAAAATTAATTTGATAAATTATACCTAGATTTCTTTATGCTTGTTATTTAATAATTTGGACCCCTTCACATTTAGAATATTACTATTATATCTCATGACGTTTATGCACGTATAACACGTAATTCTTTTTCGTTGATATCTGTTAATATAATTGTTAAAAAATATGATTTTATCTTAATAAAAAATTATAATTTCATATTACCCTTTATTTTATAGGTCCAATATACTCTAAAGTGCAAAATCAAGTTTATTATTTGAATGTCTAATAGAATAAAGGGTTGCACTTTAAGTGATATATTGTATTGGATATAAAAAATATTATATAAATATCTACATTTTATTGAACATTTAAATAGTAAGCTTGATTTTGAACTTTAGAATATATAGGATCCACAAAATAAAGAGTAATATGAAATTATAATTTTTTATTAGGATAAAATTATATTTTTTAATGGTTATATTAACAGATATCAACGAAAAAAGGGTTACGTGTTATACGTACACAAACATCATGAGATGTAGGAGTAATATTCTAAATGTGAAGGGGTCTAAATGATTAAGTGACAAGCATGAGAGGATCTAGATATAATTTATCAATTTAATTTTAGGTGCACATTGATACAAATTTTTATCTTTGATGGTGCAAATTAAAATTTTTGATTTTTGGGAGTCTAAATTGACATTCGAATTATCTTTCAGGGTGTAATTTACAATTAATCCTTTTTTTTTTAGGCGAAATGTTCTCGGTTCACCCCACAATATCAATAATCTAGTTTCTCCATAATTGAAAAAAAATTCACTTCACACAAAAAACCTGATTTTTATTTCCGATTCCAACTTCTCCATTCAAATCCACAGAGATGGACCCAATCAAAATAGGTAGTAATCTCAATATCAATCTACTAAAATGGAACATCAAAAATAAATCAAAAAGAGGGGTTTCTGATACAGAACAAATCAACACAAAAACCAAAAAAAGTTCACCAAAGAAAAATTCAACATAGAGTGCTAGTGATGTTGCTTTTCTCCACCATAAAACAATAGTCAGGTGAAAGAATTGAATAGTTCAAAATTTGAGATAGACTAGCAATATTTGTTTGTGGGTAATGGCAGTTGTAACATGACTCGGTGAGTAGTGTACCCGCTAGGTGAAGCAAATCGCCAAGGAAGTGAAGTAAATCGATTCTTGTCCTGCCTTCGTTCGACACTTCAACTAAGAGAGAGAAGGAGAGGGGCTGATTCGGTCAACAACTTGACTGAGAAAGAGGTTGCTTCTTTCGAGATTGACCGAGCGAGAGACTGATCGTTCGACGACGAGGGTGAGAAAGAGAGAAAGGGAGACTAATTGTTCGAAAATGAGGGTGAGAGAAAGAGGGAGGTTGAGATTCGTCGGACTCAACGCTGGAAAAAGAAAGAGGCATAGAGACAATTAGGTTTTGGGCAAAAATGCCCAAAAGGGCTGGTTTTTATACCCTTTAAATGACTCGCCCGATTTGTTGTAAATCGTCCAGTTCAACGGGTTTAGACAAGAACCGTCCGGTTCAGTGGGTGTTGTTTGCTCAAACGATCTAATAGTTTACTCGGCCCAGTTTAGTGACCAATTCACCAGTTTATTGGGTCAACCCACCGGGCCAAGCAGGATTTTAAGACACAGGTTAGATCCTTCATTAAATCTTCGGATTAGATTCATTACTCTGGTATGTCTGTTGGACTCATTCCAATAAACTGATAGACATCTGGATAAACATGACACGGGTCTGGTAAATAAATTGGTAGTACCCTGGCATGACACAAACTTGGCTATAACGGTCATAAATGGGTCATGGGTCAGGTAAGGATTGGGTAGATTTTGATAGGACATGACATAAATAATGTGAACGCTTAGGAGGGCCGGGGATGTTGGGCCATCCAAGTGTGAGCTGTGCTGGGGAGAGATGCATATAAAATGAAAAACAAATATTTAAGAAGTGGAAAATCTGGCAAATTCAGTTTATAGTGATATACTATTCTACTCACCCAAAAAAAAAAAAACACTATTCCAGTACTTAATTCTACTGTAAGGTTGTTTCCTTTTGATAAGGGTATTATTGGTTTGGATTACAGAAACATCCTCTTTGTAAATTCAATTTATGGTAAGATCTTATACAAATTTTTGATACGGCAATAAGGTTATTTTATTGTTGCAAAGGTGTCATGGATTCGAGTCACAAAAATATTTCTCCACATGTTGTGATAAGATTGTGTATATTTGATCCTTTCTAAATCTCATGGTAATGGAAGTCACATGAACTCGGCTATTTTGTATTGGTATATGGAATGAGGAAAGCCAAATGGGTCATATACTATCTAAATGCACTCCATGTTTCAACACACCTTTGATACTACATGGTGTAGCATGCACACCAAGAGACTGTTAATCAACTCAAACTAAAACACTAAACTCTCTCAAATCAGCGCAGTAATAACAAGGTTAAAATTAGATTCCAATACCCAGAAGAAAAGGAACAAGTAAAGAAAAAGAGAACTTGTGATCATTCAGAATGAAAGTGAGGAAATTGAAATTTTTACTTGCTCAAATTGCCAACTAATGTTCTTAAAAGTTCTCTAGAACATGCAAATGAAAGACAATAAAACTGGTTACCCCTCATAAGCTAAATAAGATTAGATAGTTCAAAGACCTAAGTTCAGAGTTTTAAGTACTCAAACAGGCAACACCAGCATCGTAGTTTCACTTCTTCCTCTTCTTAGGAGGCTGAAGGGACGCCTCGTCTTCATCCTCTTCCTCATCATCCTCTGGTTCTTCTTCTTCTTGAACTTCTTCCTCATCCACATCCTCACCATCCTCCTCCTCCTCCTCATCGTCATCATCATCATTTTCTTCCTCATTGTGGTTATCTTCTTTGTCATCTTCGTCATTCTGGCCCTCATCATCATCTTTGTCCTCTCCATTCTCTTCACCTGCTCCACCAGCTCCTCCTTCAGGTTCATTCTTGGCATTGCCATTGATGTTGGGATTGTTGCCGTACCCTCCTGCCTCTTCAGAAGATGGGTCCTCTTCGCCTCCTCCAAGGCCACCGTCCTCCCCGCCATCAGCAATATCATTGGCATTTTCATCTCCATCTTCTCCCTCGACATCATCCAATTCGGATCGCCCAGCTTCTCCCTCGACATCAACCAATTCTGATTGGCTTTTGCCGTGATGTTCTCCTTCACCTTTGGGTCCGTTTGTCATCAACAGTGCCATGGAATCCTGAAACTAGGGGACGAAGTTGCAATGCCGGAGTCAGGTACCCAAGAATAATAAACAGTATAACCAAGAAACGAGGAGAGAGGAATGGAAATACGTGCGCGTGCGCACATACACCAGTCGTGTCTTAAAACCCCTCAAAATTCTTAAAGGCTCCGTGCAAAGTCTAAGGTTGCTTGGCAGTTGAAAATGGGTTGCTACACATACAAATGGGGGCCTGTATTGAATGAGATTGTTGAAAAACTGTGGCACATAAATAGTAATATGAAGCAAAACTCGGCTTCAATTGGTACAGTATCGAATCCTCAGTGTTCAAGCATAAGAGTTTCTTCTGATATGAATTAGGTATCAACCTGAGTGTATTTAAATATGCTGTACAGAGGCTATTAACCAAACCACATAAATTACTTGTGTCTTATGTGATTGTTATTTTAATTTTTCCACTTTTGTGTGTGTTATATGAATCCAAATTTGATTCTTGCAGTTATTTTCACAACAATACATAGCTGGATCCATTTCGATACCACATAAAAACAACAGAGATTTAGTGCACCCATTTGGTCATTTTGGTTTAAATTAAAACATGTTAGCTCTAGCAGAGCATATGTAGCATTTTTTCACTATTATTATCACCTCATAGGGTAACAACCCTTTTTGAATGGTTCTTATTCAATTGAAGGTACAGTGAAAGAGGAGGGGGGGGGGGGGGTTCTTAGTCATACTTTCAAAACCTTATGAGTTATGACCCCCTCGATAGTCTCAACAGCATATCCGAATATCTTCTCACCCAAATAATAATAAACAGAGACCAAGACACATTAAGTGTCAACTACAACTAACTGCCAAACACTCACACTCAGTAAACCAATTATAAAACACAGCTCAATTATAAACAAATAATTATTTTATTTTTTGATACTTGACTTTACTTTTCACATTAACTTAGTATTTTTAGACTAATACTTTACTTGAGATTTC